CAGTTAATTTGCATATCTCCCTGATTAGCCAATGGGAAGGGTAGCGGTCGTACGCCAATTACCATGTTTCTCTTTTATTAGTGTAGATTATACAAAGGGTAACATGTAGCTAGTGTCTGCTATTTCTTAGTACAAGCATTTTCATGTTATATGAAGAACTTCAGATGGGGGAGGGGTAAGTACTTTGTAAAGAGCACACAACAGCATGTGGACTTTAAGCCCAGTTATGTCCAACTACAAAGCCTATGCACGTCCACTTTTCAAAAGTTTGTAACATGAGTTTCTGTCTTTAAGGCATATAGTGAAAAATAATTTTTAAAACCTTTAATAGATGATTTTGATTTTATGAATCAAAAGCTTAGCTCTTGTATGTGACGCCATGAATAAGTGATTTAACCATTTTGAGCTCAGTGCTTCCTCTGTGGTAAGATGAGAGGAATAATACCGACATCAAAGGAAGTGCTTGAGGTACAGTGATCACTAACTAAGTCTGCCATGTAACTCTTCCTTTCCCTAGGGGAGTAAAGAGGAAAAAGACATTTCCTTGAAGAGGATGGAGGTGGACCATGATCTGTGAAGGGCTTCTTCCATCCCTTCGCACTGCTCTGCGCAGGTTGTTGCAAATGGTTGGTGTTTCCATGGGAAGGGCACTTTTTGATGCCCTTCTCTCTGATTCCTCTTCAGTTGCAGTGTTTCTTCCCACCACTGGTCTTCACTGAAGCCCATAGAGCAAGAGAAGAACTTGGCTACATGTCCCTGGAATCAGAACGACAAAAGAAGCCCTTGTACCTGTACCTCTAGGTCTTCCGAAGCAGGAAAGCTGCTCTTGACGCAGCCTCTGTTCCATGAGTAGCAGAAGGCGGGCTGGGGAAAAACAGCGCCCCCGCTGCAGCACAGGTGCCAGCAGCAAATGCAGCTCTGGTGTCTTCCTTGATTAAACCTCCGTTAACACTGAAGTGATTCTATTTGGTCGTTGTTCACTGTTGAGAACATAGTTTCCCAAAACTTCGCATTAAATTAGGCTGCCCTAACAATAACAATGAGAAAACTTCCTCGTAAGTAGGACTGACCTTCCTGGAAAGTGATGTAAATGATTGTAACTGTGATGATGTGTTTTTCTGCTTGGCCTCTGGGTTGGGAGGAGGGTGGTGCTGGAGACCAAGTTTTTATTTCATGATTGTGACCTAAAATCCATTGTAAAAAAAACATCACTATTACCACAAAGCACTGAACCCACATGAAATACAAAGCATTTTGTATTTTACAACAGCTTTTATTTTACAAAGTAAGGGTTATACTTTAGGCTTTTATCAGTCTTTTACCACTTAGTACAAGTTATTTCCTAAAAACAAGTTGGAAAGCATGAATGTGAGGGGAGGAGGAGTGCAGGCAGAAAGATGGAGTAGGGGCGAAGAGGCACCAGGTCCTTAGAAGGTGATGCAACTGCAGAACCACCTCAAACTGGCTGTATCCTGTTTCTTATAAGATACTGGGTTGTTTCTCAGAGACAACAGAGCAAAACTGCAAGTCATACAGCCAAAGCAATCGCAGAGGAGAAAATGATGCAAATGACACCTAGAACCCAAGTTTCTCCATCCCCCTTCCCCCATAGAACCAAAGGACCAGGAGAAGACCCGAGCCTGAACACTGGCACCCTTTCAGAAGCAAAGCGTCCGTTGTCCAGGAAGACCCAGTGCTGCAATCCCTTAAATCTCTCCCCGGAACCCTGGATCAAAGAGGCAGATGTCTCCTTGCCCTCGACCTCGCAATAAACCTTTTTCTTATCTCAAAAACCAGTGCCATCGTATTGGCTTCTATGTGCCTCATTGGCTTCATACAATGATATCTAGAACAGCAACAGAAAAGAAATTTGATGTCTGACCTCCCGAAGGCCAATTCTCTTGTTTGACATTTTTGCCAAGGCCCAATCCAAATGTTGAAGGAGCTAAATCATTCTCAAGTAACTAGCAAGAAACATCAAAAATCCACCTAATAGTGTCCATTTATTTCTTTCAAACATGGCTTTAAAAAATCAGGAAAATTGTCACACCCTTTCTGACACACTATGCACTACTTTTTATTAGTTAGGAAGAGAAAGCAGAAGGAACTGGGAGAGGACTCCTGGATGGTGGGAGAAAATTGGATGAGTACTCCATCAACTATTACCCTCTGAAGGAGGGTACCACCTTGGCCTTCTTCAATGCTATACCCCAAGATCTGTGCCTGGTCCTCAGTGACCATTGTTAAATTACTGTCCATATGAATCAATATCATAAGACTATCATTAAACCCCTATGAAATATGCAGGGCAGGCCGAAGCCGGTTTGGCTCAGTGGATGGAGCGTTGGCCTGCGGACTGAAGAGTCCCAGGTTCGATTCCGGTCAAGGGCATGTGCCTGGGTTTCGGGCACATCCCCAGTGGGGGATGTGCAGGAGGCAGCTGATCGATGTTTCTCTCTCATCGATGTTTCTAACTCTCTATCTCTCTCCCTTCCTCTCTGTAGAAAAAAATCAACAATAAAATATATTTAAAAAAATATATTTATATAGAAATATGCAGGGCAGGTATCATTTGGCCAATGAGGGAACTGAGGCTGGGAAAGTTAAGACAGTTCCCCAAAGTCAAACAGGAGAAAAATACAGGTGCTCCTAGTTCTTCCTGAAAATCAGCTTATCCAACCAGGTGCCACTCTCAATGAGCCGAACGTTTGTATTCTCCCCCAAATTCATATGCCAAAGCTCTGACCCTCAATGTGATGATATTTGGGGGTAGGGTCTTTGGGGAAAAATTAAAGTAAAGTCATAAGAGTAGGGCTCCCATGATGGAATTATTAACCAAAATTCTCTCACTCTTCCTCTCTCTCTCCCTCCTTCTCTCCCTCCCTCTCTGAGTCACAGCAAACAGGGAGGCTTTTGTAAGCCAGGAAGAGGGTTGTCCTTACCAGTAAGTAACCAAATTTACAGGCATCTTCATCTGGACGTCAGCCTCCAGAAATGAGAAATAAATGTCTGTGATTTAAGCCACCCAGTCTGTGGTATTTTGTTTTAACAGCCTGAGCAGACTAACACAGCCTCCACGTTTACCCTCAATTTATTTGAGTCACTTGTCACCACCTGATATGGCACCATATTTCAAAGAATCTAAAATACTGTCTATTGTGGCACACACCAGTATTTTATGAATACCACTAAGAGGAGAACTAGCTCCAATTACACAAGGACACAATGCTTCCTTATCACATAGAAAATCATTTTATACTCATTAAGAGAGCTTTTAAAGATCTAATTAGGCATAGATTTCCTCATGTATCCTCCTGCACATACATTTTTTAAAAGTGAGATAAATTGATTAAAATACTTCTAAAACTTTTTCACAGAGTCCAATTCTTTGGAATCATTTTATTTATTTATTTTTGAGCCAGAGCCACCTTATGCTTGTTTTGCCACACAACGTCACCTTTGGTGCCTTAAGATCATTGACCATGCAGCATTTCTTAAAATAAATCCATAAGAAACCTTCAACCCACCAGGAGTGGGCTCCTGCCCAGCTTTGCATCATGGGCCTGTTTGGACTCAACCTTCCGGGAGGCGGCTACACTCCTCTGAGTCACCGCTGCCCCACCCCATGACCATGTGTTCACAGAGGCTGAAAGAGTGATGTACTCTGCCTCTCGAGTTCTCTTCCAAGTCCCTGACACCCGTTGTGAAGTGTTTGATATCACGTTTCAGGAAGTGGCCCCTACAGACCAGTGGCTGTAAGATGCATCTCAATATCAGAGATATTTTTTAAATTATCTGCATGTGGACTCAATAAAATGCAGCTTTTAATGGATTTGCTATTTGCTCCACTAGAATGTGAAATCAGGGATTGTGTCTAATTGCTTACAGCCATGTCTCCAGCCCTAGAACAATGCTGGCATGTTCGGTGCTCAATAAACATTTATTGAAGACATGGTTGAATTAATTCATTCATGAATGCCATTAAGTTAACAATTTAAGAGAGGTTTCTTCTTTTCGGTTAAACTTGTCATTTTTATAGAAAAGCAGTATTTATAACATGATCTTTTCAGAGAGAAATAAAGAAAAAATAAATATCCCTATGTTAAGAGTTATAGTTAATTGAGTGTTCTTCCCTTTATTTGTGTATACTTTCTACATTTTCTAACATGAGATTATTATGTTATTAATTTTATAATAGAGTGTAATAGCTACACATTATTTTAATTCATGTTGCTTTATTTTTATGTAGTAAAAGGTTAAAGCCATCCATACTGCATAACAACAGCACAGTCTCAATTCAATTATTTTTGTATTAACGCCATTTTCAATACTTTAACTTTTAGAGCATCTTAGTATAGGGTTTCTTAAACATGAAAATCTAAGCCTGAGGATAAATGGAAGGAGACCGAGTCACTTCTCTTCAGGAACCCAGGCTTGGGCCCTGGCTCCTGTGGGCTTGAGCAGATCCCTCTGTTCTCCCAGGTTCTGTGGACTTCAGGAAGGCTCCCTGGACACCCAGAAGTTCTCTATGATCTCAAGATTCTGAAGAAAATTGCAGGCTATTGGCAAGTTTATAAAGCATGCTACTCAAAGAGGCATCAAGAAGCTAAGAAAATTGGGGGAAATATTTCAGTCAAATAATCAGCCTCCCAGACTAGTCAACTTCAATCTAGAATAGATGGTGAGCGGGAAGAGAGGGTGCTATAGGATGAAGTGTACCCCCCAACCCAATTCATATGCTGAAGCCCTAGAATATGACTGTATTTGGAGATAAGTCCTTTATCGCAGTGATTGCATTAAAATGAGGCCCTTAGTGTGAGTCCTAATTCAATCTGACTAGTGTCCTCATAAGAAGAGGAATCTATTCCATAGCCAGCTTGGCTCAATGGATAGAGCATCAGCCTGTGGACTGAAGGGTCCCAGGTTCGATTCCAGCCAAGGCAACATGCCTGGGTTTCAGGCTCGATCCCCAGTAGGGGTCGTGCAGGAGGCAGCCAATCTATGATTCTCTCTCATCATTGATGTTTCTATCTCTCTCTCCTTCTCCCTTCCTCTCTAAAATCAATAAAGAAATGTACTTTAAAAAGAAGAAGAAGAAGAAGAAGGAGAAGAAGAAGAATCTATCTCTCCCTTCTCCCTTCCTCTCTAAAATCAATAAAGAAATGTACTTTAAAAAGAAGAAGAAGAAGAAGGAGAAGAAGGAGAAGAAGAAGAAGAAGAAGAAGAAGAAGAAGAAGAAGAAGAAGAAGAAGAAATCTGAGCACACACGAGAGACACCAGGAAGGCATATTTGCAGAAGGGTGGTCTTGTGAGGACACAAGAAGACAGCCATCTACCAGCTGAGCCGAGAAACCTCAGAAGAAACCCATCCTACCTGACTCCTTGATTTTGGATTTCCAGCCTCCAGAACTGTGAAAAAATACATTACTGTTGCTTAAGCCCCCCAGTCTGTGACATTTTGTTATGGCAGCCCCAGCAAAGGAATGTGGGGGCAGGGACCCTGAGTCAGCAGGACTCTTCTTTTTGCACAACTTTAACTCATACAGTGTTGTCTGTTCCGTGTCCTCTGAGAGTATGTATGTGATTTGTGGCGGTGAAGAGAAGTGATGGCATAAATGCCTTATACCTATAGGTAATTCCAAAATTCTTATTAGCTCTTACCCTCAGCCCTCCCCCACACCGACCTCCATGATTTGCTAACACTTTGTGATGGAGAGACTGATTTGAAATTCCAAGTCCAGCTGGGACTCTGTGATGATCCTGACAGATGGACGGCAGGCACAGAAAAGGGTACAGGAAATAAATCTAAAAAATACATCGCCCAGTTAATCAGCCCCTTTGTAGACAGTTCTAAGTTACTTGTACTTAACAAGATGGAAGTGAAAGCTTATAGCGTAGGGAAAAGAAACTGACGAATTATTGCCCAGACACTCTCCAGCTGCTAAACCTAGATAATAGATTCATTATCTCACCACCACCACCTCATTCCCCTCCTCAGCAGTATGGGTTTGACTGCCCTCTTGCCTACAGGTAATTCTCCATCAAAATTAAATCCGTCAGCCAGTTCTCGATTTTATAAACTATGAAGGCAGGAGAAAGAGAGGAGGCTGGCGAAGGCTGCGCTGGGTGGGAGGGAGGCTATCTTTCCCAGGGCTGCTAAACCGCCAATCCAAAATTTCTCCTAACAAGGGCCTTGAAATATGCCTGCATTCACGGTGCCATAGTGACATCAGCTGGTCAGTTCCCAAACAACACCCAACATCCAACTGGCTCAGGAAAACATTTAAAAGTCGATGATGGCCAAGAACCACTAGGTAAGTGTATTTTTTTAGTTCCTGCACATAAGCTAGATTTTCAAAGTGTCTTTTATAGTGCTTCTTCCAAATATGCAATATTAACAGCTGGTGAAGTAAGCTTTTAGAAATGAGAATTTAAAAGTTTGCAGTGGCAACAAGTATGATACTAAGTATGATAAACCCAAATAAAGTACATAAATTTTATAGATTGTGAATAGATTTTACTTTTTAAAATATTGGGTGGAAACTAAGCACAGTGTGAGATGGCTTCTCATACAATATTAAGACATAAAGTGACGCCCAGCCAGCATGGTTCAGTGGTTGAGCCCAGACCTATGGTCATAGTTCCATTCCCGTCAGGGGACATGCCCAGATTGCAGGCTGGATCCCCAGTGGGGCTCATGCAGGAGGCAGCCGATCAATGATTCTCTCTCATCAGTGATGTTTCTATCTCTCTCTCCCTCTCCCTTCCTCTCTGAAATCAATAAAAATATATTTTACAAAAAAAAAGACATAAAGTGACTTCTTTCTGAGAGTTACACAGCTATGCCACTTAGTCTAGAATGAATGTGAAATACGAGAAAATTAACAATGTGAGGGTGTGAGCATAAGAAAATATAATTGAGTCCACCTTAGACCTCTTAAAAAAACAGTCATGTTTTTATTAATTTTAGGGAGAGAAGAAGGAGAGAGAGAAACATCAATGTGAGAAAGAAACATTGATAGGCTGCCTCACAAACTCCCCCTACTGTAGATCAAACCCGAAACCCCGGCATGTGGCCCAACCAGGAATCAAATCGGTGACCCTTTGGTGCATGGGATGACGCTCAACCAACTGAGCCACACCAGCCAGGGCAATAGTTAGACCTCTTTTATTGGGTTACCAGATGAAGGACTTTCAGTAGGAATTTTGACACAGTGCTGATAGTTTCTTAACCCTATGGTTTGCACTTACTTTTAACAGTACAGGAGAGCCTATGGTTGAAGCAGAACAAGACTACAGGTTTAAAGGGTTGAGGGGGAGATGGAAGAAGAATCTAGAGCACCATGTCTATAACTCATGGTGGGGATATCAAGAAACATTCCGACGGAGACCAAGATGGCGGCATAGGTAAACACCGGAGACTGCTGCCGCAAACAACCACTTCAAAAATACAACTAAAAGACGGAACGGACATCACCCAGAACCACAGGAAGGCTGGCTGAGGAGAGACTCTTCAACTAGAAGGAAAAATAACAGCACACCGAGGCTCAGAGGAGGCGCAGTGTGGAAAAAACTCAGGTGCGGAGGTGCGCGCGCAAAGCGGGCTGGTGGCTGAGAGCGCGGTTGTCGTTTTCGGTCAGGGGGGAGTCTCAGACTCTGAGCTCCAGATACGGGCGAATCGCTGGGGACTCGGACCCAAACGGGAGAAGCGGGAGTGTCTGGCATCAGTTGGAAGGCAGCTTTCCCTCCGATGTCTATAACTCATGGTGGGGATATCAAGAAACATTCCTAGAATCCACAAAGCACAGTTTGAAAACAACTATCTAAAACCTAATAGTGTTCTGAGAGGAAGAAATCAGATGACCAAACTTCAAATAAGATAATCTACGAACTCAGGAAATGACTTATTTCATAATTCAAGGTAAATTCTTTTTAAAAATAAAGGAAATATATTAGTAAAGAAAGAATAAGTAAATTAAAACTAAAAATGCCTATAAATGTAGATACTGGAATGTTGTATTAGCCTAGAAACAACCAGTTCTTCAATCATTTGAGTTGATTTGCTCATGTATAGAACTAAGCTCTTATTTGTAACTGCTACCCACAATAACTAAGATTTCTTGTTCACTGTGCATACCAGTACTGGCCAGCAGTTGTTCTGTTCTGTGTCCTCTTCATTCAGATTCAGGCTGAAGAAGCACCCTGTCCAGTGGCAGAGAAAAGAGCTAAGGCCAAACCACTAGCAGCTCTTCAAGCTTCTGCTCACATTTCATTGACCAAAATAAGTCCTGTCCACCCCTGACATGGGTGGGGCAGGAATTCCAGGTGGGACAAAAGTAGGCTTACTGTTGTTCATATGAAAAATAATACAATAATCCTATATAATAAAACCTAATATGCTAAGTGTCCGGCTGGCTGGTCGGCGGTTCAACCAATCAAAGCATAATATGCTAATGATATGCTAAGGCCATTCAACCGCTCGCTATGATGTGCACTGACCACCAGGGGGCAGACGCTTCAACCGGTAGGTTAGCTTGCTACTGGGATCAGGCCGATCAGGACTGAGCGAGGCAGGTGGACATGCCCTGGAGCCCTCCCACAGTCCCTTCCTGGCTCGCCAACCTCTTGTGTCTCTCCCCTGTCCTGATCGTGCACCGGTGGGGTCCCTCAGCCTGGTCTGTGCCCTCTCGCAATCTGGGACCCCTCAGGGAATGTCGGACAGCCAGTTTCAGCCCGATCCTGCAGGCCGGGATTAGCATACTTTTCTGTTGGCCTCTAGTTAATAAATAAAAATACAAGAATAAACTCTGTGCTCCCCATACTCACAACTGCCAACCTACTTTCCCCCCACCCTGTATAATCTTGCATAGGGAGACTCTACAAACCACATAGCTATGGACGGGGATGTATAATGCTCTTATAGAGAGGACAGAATAATACAATCTACCACCCCACTAAATGCCCAAAGCTTTGTACAAAGTGGATGCTCAATAAATGCTTTGAATTAGTATGTGAATGACTTAATGTTAACATGTCCTCACACTAAATATACATTGATTCATCTTTTCTGGTGCAGTTTATACCCTGGAGTGTTACACAGTAACTTCCCCTTTTCTACTACAAATGTCCTACTAGGAATGAACCACACAAACGTAATGTTGAGCACAAGAAACCAGATGCCAAAAACTACTTACTGTGAGGTGAATGGATAAAGAACTTGTGATGTATTCATACAAAGGAATACTACTCTGCAGTAAAAAGGAATGACCCATTGATACACACAACAGCAGAAATGAATCTCAAAATAACTATGGGGAATAAAGACCAAAAAAGTACGTTATGTAGTATGCCATTATAAAATTCTGAAAATGCAAACATCTGTGATGACAGAAAGTGGTGACCTGAGGCGAGGAGAGGTAGAAGTGGGAGAGAGGGTAGGTAAGGAATCTTTGGGAAGAGATGGGTATGTTCATTATCTTGAGTGTGGGTGTATTCATATGTCAAAACTCATCAAATTGTACACTCCAAATATATGCAATTTATTGTATGACAGTTATGCCTCAATAAAACTTAAAAAATGTTTTTGAAAGAACACTTCCCATATGATTATATTTAGATATTGTTTACAACAAGAAAAACTGATCACCCTAGCCAGTTTGGTTCAGGGGATAGAGCATCGGCCTACGGACTGAAGGGTCCCGGGTTCGATTCTGGTCAAGGGCACATGGCCGGGTTGCGGGCTTGATCCCCAGTAGGGGGCATGCAGGAGGCAGCCAGTCCATGATTCTCTCTCATCATGGATGTTTCTCTCTCTCTCTCCCTCTCCCTTCCTCTCTGAAATCAATAAAAAGATATTTTAAAATAAAAAGAAAAAGGAAAACTGATCTATGGCAGTTAGGATAGGTCATGCCCAGTAGGACTACAGAGGGTGCAGGAAATGCTGCTGCTTGGTCTGGGTGTAAAAGTCCGTTGGTCAAACTTCATTGAGCTGTATATTTATGATTAGCATACTTTTCTGTAGGCAGGTTAGGCTGCAATAAAAAGATTTAAATGTGCTGCTATTTTTAGAACAAATTCAACCATTTAAAAAATACCAAAGTAAGCCATTTTCATGAATTTATTTATGATAGAAAATAATAGTTATGATAACTATGTGATTGCATTCATTTATCATCTACTTTTGAAATTTGAGAGCTATCAGTGGATTTTCTTTCCTGCAAGTCTCCCTGACTGAGGACAGACCACAGAGCCTTGTAGGCGAGACACTGGGAGTGAACAGTCCTGATATTAGCGGAAAAATGCATCCACACGCTACCAAGATCTGTCCCCCAAATGTGCAAATGCCCTATGCGTCTGCTCTCCTTTGTGTCCCTAATTTGTATTACTGTTACCTGCATTCTCTTCTTATTCGGGGACACCCAGACAACTCAAAAAGCATGCAGCTATGTCCAACTCTACAGACGGGATAATACTATTATTGCAAAGAGCTGAGATAAAGTAAGAAATGAAAACTCCTAGACATCTTTATGAATCCATCATTTTTATCATTTAATATATTTTAAATATTTATTCCTACTGAAGGATTACTTTAATAAATAAATATAATATATAGTCAATGATTTGATGGTTGATGTGGATTAAATTTCCCTTACTGGCACAAATGGTCTTAAATTAAAGTGAATTGAAGGTTTATCATTTTCATCAACTCCCAAACCCCCAAAATAGAAAATCAGCCTGAATTTCAAATGACTTTGATCTTTGTGTTTGTTTTATAAACTATTACCTGGTCCCCATTAATGCCTCTATGGAGGAAAAATAAATTACAGGGTCTCAAACACTGTACTTAAGTAATTTTAAAAGAAAACTTTTCAAAATGCCATTGATCTGTTGTAAAAACTAATAAATACTCTCTTCTCATGCATAAAACTTTAAAATTCCCCACTAGTTCCCATCTAATAAAAGAAAAATGGAAACCATTACCACGTAGGCTCATCATTTAAAATATGAAAAAGACAAAAATAACTGAAAACCCAATTTCGCAATAAATGTGCACTACTTACCAGGTGCTGTGCTACGGACTGCCTAGATCAGTGATGGCGAACCTATGACACGCGTGTCAGAGGTGACATGTGAACTCATTTTTTTGGTTGATTTTTCTTTGTTAAATGGCATTTAAATATATAAAATAAATATCAAAAATATAAGTCTTTGTTTTACTATGGTTGCAAATATCAAAAAATTTCTATATGTGACACGGCACCAGAGTTAAGTTAGGGTTTTTTCAAAATGCTGACACGCCGAGCTCAAAGGGTTCGCCATCACTGGCCTAGATAAATGGAAACCAGATCTGGGTGCCTGGAAAGTGGGGTGATGCCCTAACAAAATCCTAGAACATGTGCCAGTTTTTAGGATCAAGTGGCTGGAGGGAGTCCTGGGGGCCTTCAGAAGACTGCTAGGATGTTGATGATGATGGCCCCAAGGAGGCTGTGGGGCGAGAGCTCAAAAGAAATTGAAGAAAACGCTATGGGAAGCTAAAGAACAGGGGGTTCCTGAGACACAGCAGAAGATTTAGTAACACTGTTGCTGTGGGAACACGGGAAAAGAAGATGCACTTCTGAAAGGAAAAGGCTAGCCAAGGCGACTTCCAAACAGTGCACGCAGAGTGCTGCCTGCCTCTATTTGCTGCTTATCGTAAATGTGAGTAGAGAAAATAGAAAATTAAAGAAGTGCTAAATAGAAAGAAGCCAGGGCTTACTAGGTTCACAAATGAAACCTTTTCTCATTCCCAGCCTTTTTAGATAGAAAACAATGTAACATTAGGAAATACCACCTGGACAAAAGACTTGATCAGGGAAACCTGTCTAAAGACCAAACCAAGAGTGTGACTGTAAAACCTTCTGTTAAGATCTCAGAAGAGAGTACCCTTTCCAAATAGAAAATTGCCTCTCTATGGATCTTAAAGTTATTGTACCTCTGCTGCTTTACAGGGAACCTAAACTGCAGAAGGGTTTATTCAAGGGATTTCAGGTGCAGGGGTGGGGAACCATTTTCCTGCCAAGGGCCATTTGGATATTTATATCATTTGAGGACCATTCAAAATTACCAACTTAAAAATTAGCCTGCTGCCTGACCGGTTTGGCTTAGTGGATGGAGCGTCGGCCTTCAGACTGAAGGGTCTTGGGTTCGGTTCCTGTCGGGGACATGTGCCTTGGTTGCGGGCACGTCCCCAGTGGGGAGTGTGCAGGAGGCAGCTGATCGATGTTTCTCATCGATGTTTCTGACTCTCTATCCCTCTCCCTTCCTCTCTGTAAAAAAATCAATAAAATATATATTTTTTTAAAAATTAGCCTGCTGTATTTGGTCAAACTTTATTAACTCACCCCTACTGCCTGATTTCACAGGCCACAGGCCCGGGGGCTAGATGTTCCCACCCCTGGTACCGTAAAGGAATGGATTACAAAGTAATGCACAATAAAACCTGTGAAATTTTTAAAGAATTATATTAGTTTGAATTGAGAAGGATAGACAGGACAAAATGAAACAATACCTTTGAATGCCATAATTTCTATGGTTAGGAAGTAGACTGAGAAATTACTCAACTTCGAACAAGGGCCACATTTTATATAGAAGTTAGTCTATTTCAGAAGATGGAGCCAGGAGCCATGGTGACTCATTCCCAGGCATCAATCCTGACCCTAATCATGGACCAGGCAACACATACCCATGGATTTCAGAATTGTTACGAACCATAAGTGCTGTGTGCCTTCACCTTCTTTGAACAAGAATGTCTATACATAATGGTTATCCCATGCCTAGAACGGTTACCCCATCGTTGTATGTTGGGTAAGTGGGGTCCAAATAACTTATCACTTAGTTCACAGGTCTTTCAGTCTAAAGGAACAGTTTCCAAGGAGTTGTTTCAGAAAAATAATGTTCAAAAAGCCTCATGCTCACCTTGACCCTTCAGTGAAGTTACGTGCTGTGCAAGGAAACAAAGGAAATCAGCAGACATGGATGTGGAGCCTGCCCATCTTCACTTCTCCACAGACACCTAGAGAGGGAGCAGTATTTGTGAAGGAATGGTATCCAGCAGAGAAATGAGTAGCTGCCCACAGCAAAGCTGAGAGCAGAGATGAAGAGGACCAGCGGCCAAGAAATGGGTCAGGAAGGGCACAAATTAAAGCCTTCTCTTTCCATGTATACCAAGAGTATGGCCCTTCGAGACAGGAAAGCTTATGTTGCCTATAAAATGGAATCATGGGGACTTCAGACATCATCCAATCAAACAGTTTCTAAAAGAAAAATTAAAAAGAAATGTTATAATTGTTGAAACTGGGTGATCAGTAAGGATTCATTGTATTATTATTTCCAGTTGTCTGTATGTTTGAAATTTTTCACAATAAATATTTTTAAATGACTATTGCATTGAAATTTAACATGTAATGCATGCAGTTTAAATACTGCCAAAGTATTCTTTCAATATTCTGCATACTTGCTAAGAATCCTTCCCAAGGAATTCTTGGCAGATGATCTGCCATTGCTTAAATACTTATAATGACAAGGAAATACTAATTTTGAGGCAGTCAGAGTTGGATGGCTCCGCTTGTGAGAAAATAATGTCGATATTCATCCAAAATATGACCCCTTCTAATTTCAAGGGAGAATCAGACAATTCCTCCACCAAGAAAGTATATTTATCCTTTTTATTTTCTTTGGTGCATTTTCCCAAATAACTAGCAAAGTTTGGTGTTCTGTATGACAACTAATATATGCTACGAAGTCTGCTAGAAAGATGCTAAGGGCTATGTTTCCATCCTCTGAGTTAAAAAGATGTGAACAAAATATTTAAGTTAAATTAAGACACCTACAGGCAAAAGTGTTACACATTGTGCTACATAACAGATTGAGATTTTTTAATATCATGGTACTCTCCATTTTCACCTACCTGTCAGCTCCACATCATTTGTCATTAATTTACCACAGAGAGCCTGGAAAGAGCTGCAAGCTAGTGAGAGCTCACAAATCAGGAGAAAAGACAGCCAAACCTCCTTGGAGATTCTTGTTCACAAACTAAGGGAATTTGCAAAATGTCCCTCAATTTGGAGGATGCTTGATATAAAAATAAAATAAAGTATGGAACGCAAGTTTCAGGTGCCTAATTTAAATGCAGAAATCAAGACTAAGATGTGGGCAGCCAGGTCACCTGTGGAATTCCAAGCACCTCCTTCCTTAATTACGTGGACCCATCGCCAACTTGAGCTGATGCTAAGATAGGGACATCTGAGTGCACCTCAGCAGAGTGTGTGCAGGGAAAGTGTTTAGTTTGCAGACTAAATTTTGCAGTAGTGCTCCCTCACTGGTGATCACGTTCGGCTTTACACTGAAGAATTATATGAAACATATTTGTCCCATATTAGCCAAAATCCAGTCTCAAGTGAGTGTTTTTTTTTAATCTCCATACATGTCCAAATGCCACCCTACTCTCAAAAATGTTTTAAAGCAAAATGACACTTTAATGTCAGCTACATGAAAAAGACCGTCCTCTACTACATTTCTTATTCAGATCCCATTTACTGAGGTAGGGACTCACATATACCCATATTTGTTGAAAACCAATGATAACATTTAAAGTTTTGCACAGACCACAATATAAAAGCAACTGACTAAATGCTCACCAAACCTGTTTCTTCCGCTTCTGTTATCTATCAGGATTCTTGCAGAAAATAGAATCCAACTCTGATGACTCAAGAAACTTTAATGAAAGGACTATTTTCAGAGTCATGGAAAGGATTAAGAAAATTAACAAGAGATGCTGAGGCACCAGGGACTAGCAAGAAGAGAAAGTCATTACCACCCCAAGGTTTTCAACTATTCTCAGATAACATTGCCCATTTAGGTCATGCCAAGCATGCGAGGTGGACTCCTCTCAATTAATAGGTTGGGTGTCTTGGCTGCTGACACATCTTCATGCATCAAGAAGGTTTGAAAGAAAGTGTATTACTTACACCCAAGGAACTTCAGGGGAGCAAAGAGCAGAGAGTGGGTTTGGCCTTCATCGTGCCAGGGGGGTCAGACTGGAGAAAGGTTCCCATGCCCGGGCTAAGACTGCGAGGTTAAAACCTCCTGTTGGTGTCAGGAACTCAGAAGTGTAAGGAGTTTCCTTACATAAAGTAGCATAAGTGGTGTAGTAGATAAAGGGATGGCGGAAGCCTAAATGTTGTCAACTATCAAAAAAAGAGAGTCCAACCCTTACACAGTGAAATGCAGGAAGGTATGGGAATAAAACCCCCAAACTCTAGCTCTCCAATCTCCTGCCTATGCTTCCCACACTGAACCTATCTGGAAGTAAGAGGTCCTGGGTGATGTCATCAATAGGTTAATGTCAGTCTTCTAGAGCCCAGAGCAGGGTCAAAGAGAGCAGAGAATTGAACTTAGGGACAAAGGCAGAATAACCAGCAGATAGATTCCATGACTCAGCCTCCCTTCATTCAGGTGTGGCTTCATGGGTGAGTTCTAGCCACTGAAACGGGATGGAAGTGAGGTGCAACATTTTCAGACCAGTCTATAGCGCTTGGCATGGCCCTCAATGCTCTTCCTCTTCCTTCATCTGCAGTTCAGACTTAAAGGGTCCAGAGGAGGACTTTGAGGCCTTACAGGATGATGGAGCCACTCAGCTATGGCCTGGGCTTCTAAATGACTGTGTCTACCAGAGACCCATATTGAACAGTGGCATGAATGAGAAATCAATTATTATATCCTAAACTTCTAAGGTTGTAGAATTACTTGTTATGTAAACAACTATAACCAATATACACATGAATATTGTTGGGAAAGGACAAGTCTAAACTGAGCTGAAGTTAGCAAAAGATTCTAAGAATATTTTTTTTAAAGCTAGTAAAAACAACTGATTAGCAGAGAAGGACCAAAGTTACCAGACCTTTGTTTCACAGGTTTTTCCCTGTGTTTTCTGGCTGTATTATGGAAGGTGTTCTCTATGGCATGGAAGAAAGGGGATGAAACTAGCTTTGGGGTAAGAATACGACAGTGTCTGTGATAGATGAGGACAGGTGCAGCCCTTCCACACCAGCGTGTGGATTGTCAGTCCTTGTGTGTGTGTATAGTTTGGACCTTTAAAGAGCCCATCCTCTTTCTTCAATGCTATTCTCCCTCCTTAAGATTTCACTCCTGTAATTATTATCCATTTAATCTTCATTCACTCATTCTAGAAATATTTATTGAATGGCTGTTTTGTGCCAGTCACCTGTCAAGTGATTTATAGTCTACTGGGAAGAGTCCCAGATGTGGAGAAATAAGTACTTTGTTCAGTGGGACCCAAAAGGGAGGGTGGCCATCTCTCCTGGATTGAGGGTAGGGGTAGAAATGGATTAGGAAGTCTTCAGAGAGAAAGTGATCCCGAGCAGGGTCTGAAAGGAAGTGGCTATATGAGCACACGTCTTGCCATCAGCCTATACTCCTCTCCAACAGAAAGAATTGACCTGTCCTGAGGGATGGATCTGTAAGGGTGTGCTGGCTGCAAGCTAACCCTTCACTTTAAGGACATGCTTCACCTATGGGTGAGGTTGAGAAGATAGTCTGCTGCTAAAAATCCTGTGATTAACAGCCATCACCGCCCCCAGGGCTGCAGTTAAAGCTGGGCCAACAGCTCTTCCCTAACACATCCTCAGCTCAGCAGCAACCTTGGTGCCAGCGCTGCTCCACCACAGTGCAGCACTGACCCGGATGGCTCTCAGGCCAAGCTCTCCTTGAGCTCTGGTGAACTGGTGCCCTGTGAAGAGCCGGAGCTTCCAAGTGAGCTGCCCCCGAGTCTGAGAGTTATGAAGCGGCAGAGAACAGGTCAGCAGGGGCAGGTCTCCAAACCTGGGGGAAAGCAAGTCAGTTCATTCTTCCAAGGTACTTGTCTTTCTGAAATGCTCTGAAAAGTCACGTTCTTGCCCTTCTTTGAGCCCCAGTTTCCTCATCTCTAAAGTGGGAATAATAATAGTATTTGCTTCAAAGGCTGAAGGATCCATGAGTTAATACCAGTAAGGAGCTTAGGACAGAGTCTGGCACACAGCAATGACCCATAAATGTTTGACAGTCCAGCGATGAAGATGAGGATGAGGATGGTGATGAGATGATAACAGCCACCTCCTGAGCCTGAAGAACTTGGTTCAGGAGATCAGTGAGTGAGTGGTTGGGGAACTGGTGAAAGAAACTGGCTTTTCTTTTAGTAAACTGGTTGCCAACCCTAAGTCATTTTTATTTGCATTGGCCTCCCCAACCCTGCTTTGGGGGTTTTAATATTTACTTAAAGGCAAATTACAATATCCTCACACTTTGCATGTTAGTTGTTTTGCACTGGCCTAGCTTTCAACCTCATTCTGTACCTTCACATGTTCCTTTATTTATTTAGTGAATAAATTTATCCAGTGCCCTCTCTCTTCTGACCCTCCTTCATGCCAGATCTATGTCCTCAGCAAGCCTGCCAGTGCGCGGTAGAGAGACAAGAAGACAGTTTGAATAGAGTGGGGTCTGTCTTGTGCAGGCAGCATTATCATGGCTGCCAAGAGAGCTCAGAGTCTCAGCCCTAAGAGAGGATGGGTAGGTGGGTGAATGCAAAGGCTTGAAGGCAAGAGAGCACATTGGGCTTTCAGCAGTTTGAGGAGACAGGCAGGAGTGGGGCACAGAACACCAGGCAAGAGGTGTCAACGGTGAGTCTGAAGAAGTCAGCAGAGGTCAGATTATAAGGGACCTTAGTTGCCAGGCTAAGGAGTCTGGACTGAATTCTAAGTTCTATGAGAAACTATGGGTATGTTTTCAGCAGGGATGTGACAAGATAAATTGGCAGTTTAGAGAGATCTTTAGAGCTGCAGGATGGAGAATAGATGAGAGGAGATCATGGATATCTGGATTCTAGCCAGAAGACCAGACTGCTAAAGAATTTCAGATGGTTGCCTAGCTGGTTTGGCTCAGTGGATAGAGCGTTGGCCTGTGGACTGAAGGGTCTCAGGTTCGATTCCAGTCAAATGCATATGCCTGGGTTGCGGGCTC